ACACACACACACACACACACACACACACACACACATATGCTATATGGGGTCTGAAGAGAAAGGTCATTCCTACTGAAGGGATCATAGAGGATTTCCTGAAGATGATGACATTGGAAGTATTCCTTAGATGTTTCTGCTTTTCTCCTGCTCTTCACCTTAGCACACCAGTGTTTCTCAAACTCATAGGTTATGACTCAATTACCAGCAGACATAGAATCTGCCTCTGTTCCATCTGTTTCTATCAGGATTCAACTGCTTGGGGCTTTTGGAGAATGAATGAGGCCTGTAGAGTATATAGTAGAAAGCTGTGGGTGTTGCAGGTAGGGGAGAGGAGATTAGTTACTGGAAAATATTTAGGAACCACTATATTAGACAAACCCTCTGCTTCAGATAACTTTAGTCTCCCCATGATTCCAGAGTCCCTTAGAAAGAACTAGTAGAGAAAATATTCACCTCCCTTCTTTGTTGAGGTGAAAGACTGACTCTGGGTGTGGAACATTGTACATGTTATCAGACTTGCTTGATAATGGTGGATAGCTTCACCAAATTTTTTTCCCTTTTTTTGGTTACAGGGCTCAGGGAGTGAGGGAAGGGATAAATTTCAAATAAAAGTGATACCAATAAAATTTAAAATTAAATAAAAGGACCAGCAAAGGTTATACATTTCTAGGTAGGCCTGGGGTTTGTGGGCAGGTCAAACTGATATGTGTGGCTGAATCATAGCCTTATCATGGCTACAGATTGGGCTGGAGAAAATGCCTACTCTAATCCTGAGAAGGAACAATGGTATTTAGATCCTCCAGAGCAGTGGAGGGCAGATACACATCTTAGTGTCTAGGATTCCCTTTATGTTCTTAAGACTTTGTGGCTAACAGAATCTCAAATCTGTCCACCAGATAAGCCTGCTATTTCCTGTCATCTACCTGCTGTTCTGGGCCTTCCTTTTGGTCTTTAGTTTGTGGTCAGAGCCCGTGGTTTGTGGCATTGGCCTGGCTATCATGCTGACAGGTGTCCCTGTCTACTTTCTCGGTGTGTACTGGCAGCACAAACCCCAGTGTTTCAATGACTTCATTGGTAAGTTTGGGGATGGCTCCACAGGGCTTTATTAGTATTGGGAACTCCCGGGGTGGGGGGAGGATCATTTTACAAATTCAGATGAATGAGCACCTGCTTTGTAATTTATAGTCATCTAATCAATTAATAGGGGCAGACACAGTGGTGGTCTAGGTACACAGTGGTGTGGTAGATAAGAGTAGTAGGCATGGAGTCATGAAGGCTCACTGTCCTGAGTTCAAATGTGACCTCAAATACTTACTAGCTATGTGTCCCTGGGTCACTTAAGTCACTTAACCCTGTTTGCTTCAGTTTCCTCATTTGTGAAATAAACTGGAGAAGGAAATGGCAAATCACTCTACTATCTCTGCTAAGAAAATCCCAAATGGGGTCACAAAGAGTTGGGCACAACTGAACAGCAACAACCTTCCATCCTACTCTTCCACAGAATTTTTATTAGTATAGGGAACTCTCATGTAGAAAATTCCTTTCCTCAGTTCAGATCAGCACCTGCTTTGTAATTTGTAGTCATTTAATCAATTCGTAACCCTGGAATGTAAGACTCTTTTAAATAATGTTTTGTTCTTTATACTTGTATACCCTGGCCTGAGGTCCTGCTAGGTGCTGGGGAATTAAATACAATGAATGAAAAATATACCTACTGCTAGTAGGTAGTCATACTAGGTACATTGTACTACTCATCTTTAAAGAGTTGCTTAGAGACACACGGCAGTTTAGGTGCTTGCTCAAGATCATTCAGCCAGTATGTGTCCACAGTTTGGACTTGAACTCATGTCTGCCTAGCTCCACATCTGGCCCTTTATTCACTCTCCCACAGTTGTTCTCTACATAGATATATAGACACATAGATAATTAAAATGCATGACTGAAAGGAAATGTCATCTCAGAAGTTAAAAGAAAAAAAATTGGGGGCAGCTAGGTGGTGCAGTGGATAGAGCACTGTCCCTGGAGTCGGGAGGACCTGAATTCAAATTTGACCTCAGACATTAGCTGTGTGACCCTGGGCCAGTCACTTAACCCCGATTGCCTCCCAAAGCAAAAAATCAGCCTTCTAAGCTGGGGGAAATGCTACCTTTGGTGGCATCAAGGAGCATGAAAGGCCTATAAGATAGTGATTGGCAGGACTCAGCTAGAGTGAGTTAGTAATCTTAAGGAGAACACACCACCAGATAAAGGAATCTGTCCATTTTGATCCGAAGTTCAGGTGCAGGTGAGTGGAGTTTATGGGATTTCCTGTTAGAGGTGGGGTTCCAGGAAGGAGAGTTTGGGGGCCAATCCCATCTCATCCTGCATGGTGAGAAGTTCAGTCCCAGGAGCTGATTTTCCTGCATTTTTTCCACCTTCTCAGCATCCCTCACCTCGTTGAGCCAGAAGCTGTGTGTGGTCGTGTATCCCCAGGTGGATGAGAGCCCATCAAAAGAGGAAGAATCTCTTGATGACATGAAAGAACAGAGGCAACCCATCTACAAATCAACTGACCCCAATGGGCCAGAGTCAACTGATTCATCCCGACCCTGATTCTGAGCGGCTCTTCTGAGCTTCTCTGGCCTTTGGCTCCCCCTTCAACCCCTCCTTCACTCAACCTCCTTCTTTACCCTCACCCCAAAACTGTTCTTCTCAGGTGGGTGCAGTCAGAGAGGTAGGGGAGGGAAATGGTAAACAAAGACACTGTAATTTGTACCCAAAGAACCAGCCACAGACCACTAGGGTCTATGTAGGAATACCATTCACCAGTGCTGCTGTCCCTAGGGAGAGGAAGTCTACCTCCTTTACACAGACCCCAACTTGAGGAGTGAGGGCCATCCAGGGATATTATCCTTAGCAAATCCTCGTGCCCACAAACGTGCAAAAACCCCCAGAGCAGCATCCTCAGGAAACCAACCACGTTTGGTGTTGCCTTCACTCTCCTTCCCCTTTCCAAGCCTAAGGAACAGAGGCCTGAGTTGGGGAAGGAGGAACAACTCAGACATGGCAGCCAGAGGTCTTCAAGAGAAGGGGATCTGATGTCAGCCGCAGGGTGCAGGAGTCTCAGAGAAAGGACATAGGTGTTTTCCCCACACACTTGGTCTTGATTACTTGTGGTTCCTTTCCAGACAGTACAAATTCCCTTTAGGGTTAAGGACCAACAAAGGATGAGCACTGCCTCTTCTTCCCCTACTTCTCCCTTCCCCTCACCCCTCATCCCTCCCCTACACACACAGGCATTCAAGCACACCCCAAGCCTGTGGAACACATTTGCAAAGACCCAGATAACAGGGACTCTGTACCGTTCCCTGTGTGCTGTCCCCAGTTTGGTGCCAAAGCTTTCTGAACCCATTGAAGCTTGTTTCCTGGTTGGTTTCACAGAAGTGGCTTTTTCTTTACTAGTAACAAGGTTTAGCAGCTCTCTCCACCTTGGGGCCATCCTTGATGAGGAGATATTTGCTAATTATCACTGGTATTTACCCTTCTCTGTCCCCAAGGACCCGCAACTCCACCTCTCAGTGCTGCCATTTTGCAGGTTTACACTATCTCTTCCCTGGGGTAAGGCCTCTCCCTACAGGGAGACTGTGAGCCACCCAAGTCTCCACCTTGAAATCAATGTTGGGCCAACTTCTTCAGGATCAGGGCATGATTCTTCCCATTTTTCTCCCTTAGGACATCTTTCCTTCTCTGCTGGAGCTACCCACTTCTCACAGGGGATCTCATTCTACAATCTCAGATATGGGGATCTGAGAGATAGGGCTTGGGGAGGAGTATGTCCTGAGGTGAGGGCCAGTGCCACCTTATCTCCCCCTTTCTTTCCAAGCAACCCTCTAGACTTCCTTGCCCTATAAATACACTCCAATCCAAACAGTACCATCCCCCCTACCTCTCTTCAGGACTTATTTCCAAAGATAGGACATACCACTAATATAGAGACAGAGGACTTTTATGAGGGCAGATGGAAGCTAGCTTAGAGATATCTGAAAAAAAGCCTATGTAATAACTGCATCTACTTTCTTCTCCCTTACTTTGGAAGAAAGAGTTCCTTTTGCTGGCTACCCAAGATGCTGGAAATTAAGTCCCTCACTATGTCTTGAGACAGATATACTGAATGTCTTAATTGGTTTTCCATGGGTTTTGTAGAAATATGATATTGGTTCTTTGTTGTAGGGCTAATTTTAAACTTCTTCAGCCATACCTGTGGGGTTAGAGATTGGGGGTCCATGGAAATTGGATCTCCATTTAGCTTTCTCTGAGATCTGTTAATTCCTTCCTTGTTCTCCAGACGTCATCCCTTACCGCTCATCCCCACATAAATCTGGAGCTAGGGAATCTTCCTTCTTCCAATATCCCTTCTGGCACCTTTGTTGAAATCTCAATTCTTTCTAGGGACTAGGAATTCCAAAGACAGCTCCATTTTTTCCTCCCCACTACCTTTAACCTCTAGCCTACATTAGATTACCATCTCTACCCCACTGCCTCATATGATTAATTAATCAAGGCCCAGGTTTTGATAAGAGCAAGCAGCCAAGGTGCAGGAGAGGGGGTCAAACCCCTTCCTATATTGACCCTTTTTTCTCGTCCCCTTTAACCTGTTCCTCTACTTGTATTGTCAGTTTTTTTTGTAAAGTGGATGCCTTACTTTTTGGATAAATATTTTTGAAGCTGGCATTTCTATTTCTTTTGTTTTTCAAAATGTTTTCAGATTTTTTTTTCTGGGTTAGACAAGAAAGCCTCGATTACAATCTTCTTGTATCTTTGGGATGGTTTGGGTTTTAGGTTTGGTTGTATTTGTTTATTTGTTTATTTGTTTTTAATGTAATAAATTTTTTAAATGGAAAATGAAAGGTTGTGGTGTTTGGAGATTAAATGGTCCTCTGTGGGGAAGGCTGGATCCCCTCCAAGCCCTTTCATCCATTACTGTATATACCCACTTCAGGGTGACATTCTTGAGGCCCCCACTTTTTACAACCTTGAGCTGATCCAAGTCCGTATCATACAACTAAACAACTGTCTTTGACTTCTGAAACTAAGGATGACTTAACCTCCCAACAAAGTCCAGGAGCTTACAGCTTACCTTCATTCATCCAAAAATAATAATGATCATTGCTGACATTTACATAGTCTTTAAAGATTTGCAAAGTAATTTATAGTCTAGTTTGAGTCTAGGAAAGGGAACTTACTCAGCACCTACTATATGCCAAGCACTGTACTAACTGCTTTAGAAATATCTCATTTAGGGGCAGGTAGATGACACTAGATAGGACACTGGCCCTGGAGTTAGGAGGACTTGAGTTCACATCCGGTCTCAAGACACATGATACTCATTAGCTATGTGACCCTGGGCAAGTCACTTAACCTTGATTGCCTTGCCTTGCCAAAATATATATATCATTTGATCTTAATAATCCTGTGATGGAAGTGCTATTATCCCCATATTACAGTTGAGGAAATTGAGGTAGAGAAGGTAAGTGATGAAAGATCACACAACTAGTCAGACCAAATTTGAGTTCCTGACTTCTAAGCCTAGCCTTCTGTCCACTGCACCACTTAAGTGATTCAATTTGTGCTTTTTAAAAAAAAGTATTACCTAGGGGTAAAAGTATTGTGCCTCTTTTAAAATGAGGAAACTTAGGCACAAGGAGGGGCAGCATGTGATTTACACATAATCACAACTATTAAGTATATATTTCACTTAGGTCTTCCTGATTTAAATTTATTAAAAATTTAGAGTGAGCAACTTTCTTTTTATTTTAATAGCTTTTGTTTTCATATCACCATTTCTACATATCTTCCCACTCCTTTGCCCAGCAGCTATTCCTTGTAACAACAAATGAAAAAGTAATCTTTTTTTAAAGAAATTTTTAAAAAAATTAGTCCAGCAAAACTAACCACATTCAAGGACACTTACAGGATGTGCAATGTTTCAAACTCAGAGTCCCCTGCTTCTGCAGAGGAGGGAGGGAGGTATGTTTTCCCACCTATTCTGGGACAAGTTCCAATAAGCCTTCAGTAGGATCCACTTAAATTTGGGATTCCCTCCTCCGTCAGCTCGTTGTGGAATGGAGCTGACAGGTCTCCAAGGTTATGTCAATGGAGTCCATGCAGAGCCTAGAAAGAGAAGCTTCAAAGGCACACAGTATGTGCTTAATAAATGCTTGTTGACTGACAGAAGAACTGCATCTGCAGACAGAGGACCAATGTCACTAAATCTAGTTGGATGAATTTTTCTGGCCACCAGTAATTAGACGCAGTTAGGTGATGTAGTAGATAGAGCTCCAGTCCTGGAATCAGGAAGATCTGAGTTCATATCCAGCCTCAGACACTAGCTACATGACCCTGGGCAAGTCACTGAACTGGTTTGCCTCAGTTTCCCCATCTGTAAATTGGATGTAATATTAGCACCTATCTCCCAGGATTAATGTAAGGATCAAATGAGCATTTGTAAAGCAATTAGCACAGTACCTGTCACTTAGTAGGAACCATATAAATGGTAATTATTTTTGTTATGGAACTAATGGGCTGGATAGATCTGAACTGGTTGGAAGGAGTACCCATATTAATGAATCACCAGATTTTAAGGCATTTTAAAATACTTATCTCCTTAGTAGGAGTCCTGGTGAAAAAGAAAAAAAAATAGTCCTTCCCTCAAGGAACTTGCAATCTCTTTGTAAAGACAAGATAACTTTTTGCCTAGAAAACCCCAGGAACAAAGAGTCAGATAGGACTGAAATATGACTGAACTGAACGTCGGATGTTTAGTCAACAAGAGCATGGCAGAGGGGAGTCAAAATAGATTTTAAAGACATGGATGGATGTGAATAGGTAAATAAGAGGCAAGAAAACACTCCAGGTAGGGTGGAGGGGAGAGTGTGAAGGGAAGGACAGAGACAGCTAGGTTGAGCAGTGGATAGAGCACCGGCCCTGGAGTCAGGAGGACCTGAGTTCAAATCCGGCCTCAAACACTTGACACTTACTGTGTGACCCTGGGCAAGTCACTTACCCCCATTGCCTAGCAAAACAGAAAAAGACAAAGACAAAGACACAAGTATAGCCATACTTGTAGGGTCTAATGACTGTTTCCAACTGGACAAGATGGAAAGCAATAACAAATGAAGTTGGTTAGGAAAGGGTGAAGGGGAGTGAATTCCCACTGATAGAGGAGCCTTGAATGATAAGCTTTTCAAAGATAATATCAAGTATAAGATTTTGGAGGAAAGATCACACAAACTATTATTTATTTATTTATTAGAGAGTAGTGATCAGCCAGTCTCTATTTACATGAGGACAAGATATGAAGGCATGAGCATAGATTACAAGAACCATAGATTTAGCTTTGATAAAAGGAAGAACTCCAAATATGAGGGAGGTAGCTGAGGAGGGTTGTAGAGTTACTTTTTAAATGCCATCTTTGTTGGTCAAGGCAAGATTGGATACATTCCTGCCTAGGATGGATAGGGGCTGCTACTAGCTCACCTTAGGCCAAGGTTTCAGTCAACTTTTCAGTCAGGCTCAAGATCTGTAAAGCCCCACAGAGCAATGACTTTCTAGCTTGGGGAGCAGGACTGGTTGGGCTATGAAGTCCATCTGCACTTTGGCAAACCTCCCCAGCACCTGCCCCAAAGGCCTCCAGAACAGCAACATAAACTTGTAGCATTGGAAGGGGATTTGGAGATCATCTCTCCAGAGCAATTAAAATGATCCTCAAACATTTACTGAGCAAACACTATGTGCAGTGCAGGGGGCCCTTCTTGTCCTCCCTGACTTATTTGGAGCTACCCACGGCAGGGCTGGCCTCTGCTGGACTCCTCCCTGCTGTCCTCAGTCTGGAAGGAGCACCAGGCTCGTCATTAGAACGCATGGAGTTTAGCTCTGGTTCTGCCACCATCTGCAAGTAGATTAATTCATCTCTTTGGGTCTTTTTTTTACTCACTTATAAAATAAAGGGGTTAGCTAATGAATCGTGTACACACACACACACACACATATACAGAAGCAGGAAAAGACACGCAGACCATTTTTGTCACTATTAGGTTAAATTGAATATCTATGTTTAAACACTGAACATAATGGCAGGGCATAGATGATTTTATCCCCATTGAATTAGAGAATTGAGTCAATCAGTCAATAGTCAGCCAATAAACATATTTATTAAGTGCCTACTATGTGCCAGGCATTGTTCTATGTGCTGAGGATACAAAGAAAGGCAAAAGATAGTCCCTGCCCTCAAGGACCTCACAATCTAAAAGGGGAGACATGCAAACAAATATATACAGAGCAAGC